TGCATGACATCTAATAAATGGAAAAATATGTTTTCAGTAGATTGGTCATTCTTCTTCCCAGAATGTTTTTTTCTCCTTTTCTTTCCAAATAGCCCCAGTCAGCATGCTTTGTGCTTTAGGAAATTGTTCGTATCCTCATGGTTTCATAAAAATGGTTAAAGATGAACACGAATATAACCTCAATAAAGATTGTACTTCTCTGCAAAATACACAAAAAAATTACATAATTCATTACAAAAAAATCAGCTGGATGGTAACTGAAGAAAAGCCATCTATTTACTGTCACAAACTGAACTGAACAAGCCAGAAACTCTTTAGATTTGTCTTTGAGAACTGCCTGTATGACAATCTTAGGAAAATATATTGAACTTTAATAGCATAGATATGGTGAATGTCTTCTGAGAAGTATGCTAAGTACTGATAATAAAAAAGCAGCATAGAAGAGTAATGGCAAAATCATATTGAGCCACTATGCATCTTCCCAGTCACTTTCATGGGCCAGCATGCAACACATACTGAATACAGGAGGAAATACATACTGCATCTAGATGCAGGAGGCAACACATACTGAATTACCAGGAGGAAAAAACGCCAGGTCCTAGTCATCGGGGACTCCCTGCTGCGAGGGCTGGAAGGTCCGATCTGCAGGCCCGACCCCATGTCACGGCAGGTCTGCGTCATGCCTGGGGCTCGGGTCAGGGACATCACGGAGAGGATCCCGGGCTGCATCCGGCCTGCAGACCGGTACCCCATGGTTGTCGTCCATGTGGGTACGAACGACGCGGCAAGAGGCAACCCTGACCGTATTATGAGGGACTTCGAGGCTCTGGGGACCAGGCTGAAGGAGACGGGGGCGCAGGTGGTTTTTTCCTCTCTCCTTCCGGTGAGGGGGCGGGGACAGAGGCATGGGACCTGCATTGGTGAGGTCAACCAGCGCTTACGCAGCTGGTGCCGCCGGGCAGGCCTTGGGTTCCTTGACAACGACCCATGCTTTCGGGAGGGGGGATTGCTGGGGCGGGATGGGCTTCATCTCTCCCCTAATGGCAAGCGTATCTTCTCTTCCAGGTTGGCTGATCTCGTACAGTGAGCTTTAAACTAGACTCGCCGGGGGAGGGGGCTGCAGGAAGACGAGGAGACGCCATCAGGGCAAGGGGTGCAAAGGTAAGTAATGGGGGTCTTGCCATCAGGGCAAGGGGTGCAAAGGTAAGTAATGGGGGTCTTGCCATCAGGGCAAGGGGTGCAAAGGTAAGTAATGGGGGTCTTGCCATCAGGGCAAGGGGTGCAAAGGTAAGTAATGGGGGTCTTGCCATCAGGGCAAGGGGTGCAAAGGTAAGTAATGGGGGTCTTGCCATCAGGGCAAGGGGTGCAAAGGTAAGTAATGGGGGTCTTGCCATCAGGGCAAGGGGTGCAAAGGTAAGTAATGGGGGTCTTGCCATCAGGGCAAGGGGTGCAAAGGTAAGTAATGGGGGTCTTGCCATCAGGGCAAGGGGTGCAAAGGTAAGTAATGGGGGTCTTGCCATCAGGGCAAGGGGTGCAAAGGTAAGTAATGGGGGTCTTGCCATCAGGGCAAGGGGTGCAAAGGTAAGTAATGGGGGTCTTGCCATCAGGGCAAGGGGTGCAAAGGTAAGTAATGGGGGTCTTGCCATCAGGGCAAGGGGTGCAAAGGTAAGTAACAGGGGTCCTGATGGTCTGGCTAATCAGGGGGTGGGGGGGCACACAGTCTTGCAAGGCCTTAAATGCCTGTACACCAATGCTCGTAGCATGGGGAACAAACAGGAGGAACTCGCCCTCAGAATAGCTAGTTCAAATCCAGATGTCGTAGGGTTAACAGAGACATGGTGGGACTCATCCCATGACTGGGCAGTTAACATTAGGGGCTATAGGCTGTACAGGCGGGATAGAGAAGGCAGAAAAGGGGGGGGGGTGGCACTTTATGTCAAGGAGCACTACACATCCTCTGCCAGCAGTATGGGGTCAGGGGAAGGGCGAGCTGAAGTGCTCTGGGTCAAGATCCAGGGGGGGCAAGGCGAGAGGGATTTGACGGTGGGGGTCTATTACAGACCCCCCAATCAGGAGGAGGAGCTGGACAGGGAATTTTCAGGCCAGCTTGCGGAGACACTAAAAGCAAGGGATGTAGTTGTCATGGGCGATTTTAATTACCCGGACATCTGCTGGGAGGAGCAGTCAGCCGGGACGGACCGCTCCAGGAGGTTCTTGGCCGAGTTGCAGGACCTCCACTTGATTCAGGAGGTGCACAGTCCCACCAGAGGAGATGCTCTGCTGGACCTGGTCCTGGCCGCAGGCGACGACCTGGTAAGAGGCCTCCAGGTTCTTGACCACCTGGGCAATAGTGATCATCGCGTGCTGGAATTCACCATCCAGCGTAGAGTGTCAAGGGCCCGCAGCAAGGTGGTGGCCCTAGACTTCAGGAGGGCCAACTTCAGTGAGATGAGGAGATTAGTGGGAGAGGATTTGCATCATAAGAGCTGCCACTGGCTGATTCAGACCCTAGTCAGACTCTTGCCTAGTTAGTACCCCTTTGTCACCACTTAAGCAGGCTGGGGGGTACCAAGTGGGTCAAACAGCCCATTGCCCCTGGCGCTGTGTGTGGGTGGTATGCACAGTTCACCATCCCATCCTTGTGTCCTGCCTGACAAGTAGAGATGCCCAGGGCAGAGGTGGGAGCAAGGGTCCCAGGTGGACAAGTCTCTATTCCAGGCTGGCACTGTGAACCTGGTCTGGAGGCTCCTCCATGGAGCCATCACCATGGGCCTGCATCTGGTGCATGTTAGGGATATCCCTGGCACCTGCACCTTCTACCAACAAAGGGGACCCTGGCACTCAGCTGCCTCCAGTGCGGCAGGTTGCAGCCCCCGTTGTGCCTCCAGATCTTTGGGCTAAGGTTCTGGCTGCGCTGCTTCTTGCACTGCCGTTATGCGCTCCCTGTCTGTGGCCCCACCAAACCCTGGGACATCCTGGTCAGGCTCCTGCCAGCTCAGGCTAAGCTGGCCATCTAATGGAAGAGGAAGGAGGCTCTGGCTGGGGGGAACGCAGGAAAGTCTGGGGCTGTTTCTGTCACTCTGTGCTTGCGTCTCTGGGCAGTTTCACTGGTTGGCGTCCGCAGGTTCCCTTGACTCATTTAGGGAGCAATGAACGCTGGTCAGTGTACTCTGTTTGCTGTCCCCTTCCAGCTCTCTTTTTATCAGCCTGTGACCCTCACTCCCTTTCCTGTTCTGTCTTTATTTGGCCCCTGAACTCAGTTGATGTGTCCCTGGTGGCCTTCCTTATTAAGAGAGGCTTATAGTTTTACTTGATGGGTTTAAGCCCATGATCCACTTGGCACATCAAATAAGGCTGTGTCACACAATGCCAGAGTGGATGCTGAGAGGGAGAGCGAACAGGGTACAACTGGGGCTTTTTCCACTGTTCTTTTTCCACTTGGAGCCTCCAGCATTTAAGGTCTGGAAAGTTCTGATTCTGGGGCTGCACCCCTAACTCCTGTGCTTGTGGGATGCCCGTATTAAATTGCATGACATCTAATAAATGGAAAAATATGTTTTCAGTAGATTGGTCATTCTTCTTCCCAGAATGTTTTTTTCTCCTTTTCTTTCCAAATAGCCCCAGTCAGCATGCTTTGTGCTTTAGGAAATTGTTCGTATCCTCATGGTTTCATAAAAATGGTTAAAGATGAACACGAATATAACCTCAATAAAGATTGTACTTCTCTGCAAAATACACAAAAAAATTACATAATTCATTACAAAAAAATCAGCTGGATGGTAACTGAAGAAAAGCCATCTATTTACTGTCACAAACTGAACTGAACAAGCCAGAAACTCTTTAGATTTGTCTTTGAGAACTGCCTGTATGACAATCTTAGGAAAATATATTGAACTTTAATAGCATAGATATGGTGAATGTCTTCTGAGAAGTATGCTAAGTACTGATAATAAAAAAGCAGCATAGAAGAGTAATGGCAAAATCATATTGAGCCACTATGCATCTTCCCAGTCACTTTCATGGGCCAGCATGCAACACATACTGAATACAGCAGCACTGTCTTCATCCTCTGTCTCAGAGGGGAACAACCTTTTTGGCAGATGTGCCACAAGCCAGCCACACATCCTCCCCAAATGCCACCCTGATCTCCTCCTCCTGCCTGCTTAGCAGCTCCGCTTTAACAGCAGCACTGTCTTCATCCTCTGTCTCAGAGGGGAACAACCTTTTTGGCAGATGTGCCACAAGCCAGCCACACATCCTCCCCAAATGCCACCCTGATCTCCTCCTCCTGCCTGCTTAGCAGCTCCGCTTTCTACTTCCTACCCTGCACTCCCTGCCCAATCAGCTTTTGTTTGCCATACCTGTCATCATGTTGCCTGTCCCCTCCCCAGTCTTTCACCTGCCACACATACACTGCCTGTGTCATATGTAGCGTGTGTACTGCAGGTTGGCCACTCCTGCTCTCTGTGTTTTTGGCTGACAGCCAGAGAGAATGAAGCCCATATCAAAACTCCTTTTTATTCATTTTGCCTGACAGAGAAGTTCAAATCATTAAACTGAAATCCTTTGTATTACCCTAGTTATCTCTTAATCAGCAGAGGACAGGAGAGGGCTTGCTGCTTTGGTAGGAGGGTAGGAGCTATACAGCTTTGCTATGGACAAGACTCCTTCCACTATGGATATGGAAAAGACAAGAATGTTCATCAGTTGGTCCACATCACTGACCTAAAGAGAGCAAGTTAAGGAGGGAGATCCCAGTAGTCTTTCTTCAGGGAGAGGCGTTATTAGATTATTGTAGCCCACAATGTCAATTAAGTACATACTATAACTGATTTGCCATTACAACTATTGTGCTGTAAGCAACAAGGTGTGCAGTAAATACTATCTTTAGTACTGCCAAACATAAAAGTAACAGTCAGAAAAAAGTGTAAATTATACATGAGACTAAATAAAAATTGTTTCAATAGAATCAAATATTTATTGTCAAATACATCAGAAATGTTCTACCTTTGTATTTAATAGTGCTAGAAGTTAGGATGTTGTATGTATCAGTACTCTTTTACTCTTTCATTCTATTTCAGGATTATTCTTGAAGAGATATTCTGCCTATAAACAACAACATGATAAAAGTTAAGTATTTCACAAATCTTAAATGTGTCCAATTTTAAAATGTAACTAGTTTACAGAAGAGTATTGGATAACATAACTACACAAAATGGAAGAAACTATTAAATGGCTCCCAGATGCAAGCTCTGATCGATATTCAATCAGTTTCTATCAGAATTTTTTGCATTATCAACATCCCTATTTATACAATACAATACAACCTACAATTAATGCTATCCCACTGCTGTTTCCTTTTTTCTGCAAAAAGAAAAATCCAGAACCATGTACATCTTACTTCCCATTTTTTCCCTTAATATAGGCAACATTTTTGCTAAGATACCTGTTAATAAGATAAAAGCCCCACCCCTTGCTCTGTACAGATATAGTCAGTCTGGTTTTTTTTCCTTCAAATTCATCAAAAACCCGAGAAAAACATAATTATACTCTTACCAGAAAATCAACAGGATCATCAGGCCTGATCTTGCAGCATTCATTTAGCCCCTGCATAAGTGTTGGCATGACATGCTTCATTAAATAGTTTCTTAGTGGAATGGACTGGGCTTCAAGTAATTCTCTCTCTTGCCTCTTCACTTCCTCTAAATGTTTGTTCTACAAGTGGTAAGCAAATAAAGAATTTGGAAAATAACATTTCATTCCTAAACAAAACAGCATTTGCTAAAATCTGTAATGGTGGCTTATAGGGAAAAATGCATCAGTTAGAAACAATGACAATTTCTTTAAAACAAATCATTAACAGAATATTACTGTTTCAGTTGTATCAATTAATAAGGACAGAGAAAGAATACAGCATGGTGAATAATGGGAATTTTGGTCTGCTTCTTTACCATCTAAGATTCTGAACACATCTTCCACAGTTAAAATTGCCAAAGATGAAATTATTTGCAAGTTCAAGGCAAAAAAATAATTGCCATCCACTGCGATTTATCTAAAGCCCTTGATATAGGTCCTTGTTAGAGACAGTACTGAATCAGACAGAGCACAGGTCTGATTCAGCAGGGAAATTCTTATGATTCTATAGCTTGAGAATTCATACTGCAGATAATTGAGAGATCATCAATTCTTATTGGTAGATAATCAAGATTTTGCCAGGTAATATGGGAGAAAAATGCAATGTTGTCAGTAAGAAGTTAAGGAAGAAATAACTATTAGAAAAAGAGAAACAAGAATTTCTTAGGGAGATATCATTTATTGAACCAACAGCATTGTTGGATAGAGTCAGACAAGTTTTTGAATGCAAGGTCTGAAAAAGAACATCTTGCATTTGAAAGCTTGTCTAACTATCCCAATTGTGCAGTTGGTCCAATAAAAGATATCACCCTAAGAAATAACCTTGCATAATTCCTGGACCATCATGGCTACCACATCACTTTAACAGTACCTATTTTAAAAAGATCATATTATAGTGTAGAGCTACAAATGGTAAGAAATAGCAGTTAATTGTTAGTAATGATTGGCACCACAAAAATTTTTTTCTCAGTTTTGTCAATTCACTTCAGTACCTGCAAAAAATGACATCATAGTAATCACTTTTCAGTTCATGGGATCAACATGGTAACTGAAAAATTGTTAAAAGGGCTCCCTGCTGAGATACTAACAGCTTCTAATACCTTAGAATTGCAGAACCATCCAGAATGCACACTGTAAACAGCACAAGACACCTGCAATACAACCGTCTAAGCCTGCTCTTTGCAAGGACCTATCATTGGTTGTCCAAAACCAGAGCAAAAGTTAGACCAGAAAATGGTATGGTCAATGCACACAGGACCTATTCTGATTCAGTGCACCTTCTGGAAAGCCTCACTTGGTGTGGTTCCATTGTGGTATAGCTGAAAACTGCCAACCTGTGCCAGAATCCTCAGAGGGATGTAAAGCTGTGCCCCCACAGGTTACAGAAGGCTGTCCAACTTCAGTGCAGCTAGGGGTCACAGTCTACACAGGCCCTACGATTTCAGGGTAGATCCCTGACACCCGCCCACACCAGCTGCATGGGCTATGCTGGCCCCTGACAGGGCCTTTCCTGCTCCACTGCAGTGGGAGAAGCAGATGCCAGTTGGATAGCCCTAGGTTATATCATTACTCGTCCCTGCTTATTTAGCAGCTTGCAAAGTTATTTTTCCCCAGTTCTCTTCTCAGATTGCTCCTGGTATCTGAACAATCTCACTGGGGTTGTATAAGCCATGAAGAAGAACACAGTCATCAAAAATCTTTTGCAGGTATTTTGATGCTAGCATGGCAAAAGTTGTTTTTAGCATACCTATATTTGATTTTTTAATTGGTGCATTAAAATGCACCCTGTGATGTGATATATGAAGCCAAATATGTGATTTGATATAAAAAACAGAGGGAAGATGTATGCGTTTCAAACAGTTTGCATGATTCTAACCAAGCATAAGAGGCAGGCCCAAGTCAAATATTTTTGTGTAATGTAAAATTTTAAGGTGGCTAGAAAGCTTATTTCTGTTATTTTCTAAAGTGCATAAATAATTACAGTTGCACAAATGTATCTGTTAGCTTACCCATTCTTCCCACTTTGCCATCTTTTCAGCCCTTTCATCAGCCTCTTTACGATCCCGTTCTGCTTGCTCTTCAGCTTCTTTGGCAAGGCGTTCTTCTGCCTTTTTATGTTCTAGTTCTGCCTTTTCTTCCTTTGTCAAACCATAATTTCGAGGCTCCCCAATTTCTTTGATGATCTCTTTTACAAGAACTCTGTTCTCTGGATCCTCCAACTTTGCTACATCTTTCAAACACAAAGAGAAAAAGCTGAGTCAGTGACACAAGAACAGAAACAGGCTGGGGAGTTTGGGTGGGAGTCTGGCCCAGCTACTTTTTTTACCCTTCCTTCATCGTAAGCCTGCTGAGTGAAAGAAGGCAAAGGAGGAAGAAATCATTTTCTACGAAGTGGCAGCAGAACAGGATGAAGAAGCTAGCAGACAAATCAACAAAATGGCTGGAAGATATCACAGTGCCAAAGCCATTGCCAATGCCTGGTTTTCCTATGCCTGTAGCTGTGTGAGCTCTGTCCAGGGGGTGCCACTGACCACTGAGGTTTCCATCCAGGTCCTGAACTGGCTTTGCAGGGACTGCAGCCTGCATGACCTTGCCTAGAACAGCCAGGTGGAACAGTGCTACTGGTATAGTTTCATAGTTTCATAGTAGCTAGGGTCAGGAGGGACCTGAACAGATCATCTACCCTGACCCCCTGCCACAGGCAGGGATGAATGCCGGGGTCACAAGACCCCAGACAGGCGACAAACGAAAACTCCCCTCCAC